AGTAGGTGTTATACCCCAAAGCTCGTGATATCACTGCAACACATATCGGCAGTAATGAAGCCGAAAATATCAGAAATGCTGAGCTCCGAGCGTTTTCTGGCAGTCTTTGTAACAAAGCTTTCTATTGGTCGGTAAACTTTCTATCGCGCAACCACGTGACATACACGATTATGAATGGTATTACCGCACGGTGTTGTAGAGGGAGGAATGTCCGAACGGAACAACACCGTGCAGGCGGACGATGCAACATGGCATTAGCTTCAAAGTATTGTGACATGAGTATGACCTCATTATTTTCACATGGAAAGGCAGAAGAGAAAAACATATGTACAGAAGTTCGATATGTAATCGATTTGAAATTCAAAGCGGTATTAAAGGGGAATAAAATAATATGACCAAAAGAAAAATGACATTTTAAACAGATATCTTGTTTGAATATTTAATGTTGCGAGTATTGGGTACCAAAAACTATGTGAAGTACATTGCAATCTGCAAGGTGACGAGTGTCATATTGACTGCAAGGAAAATCGTGATAAATTTAAATCACACGATGCAATTGTCGTTCGGATACAACACAATTTGCTATACGAAATGAAGCTGTTCTTGTTATAAAATTACCTTATTTTCGTTCATTTTATTTGCTGGTAAGAGAACAGATTCAGATTCCTCATTTTGCTGGTATTTTTCTGTGTTTCGTTTAGTTTTAGCCGAGTCCGATCCCATGCCATGCCATGCCATGCCCGGACTACTAATACATGCAAAACACGCGTACGCCGCCTGGTGCGTCGGCGTTGTCGCCTGCCATCTTGATACAAAGTTCCAAAACAAGTGCGTATATTTCCAATTATGATTGGATGGTTGTGGTGGCGTCAAACTGGTAAAATTTTACATCCAATTTTCAAAATTAAGTCACAATCAGTGACCTGAGCTCGATCTATACATACTTTAAAAGTATTCTCACAAAAAATATTTTCGAATAAAAACGAGCCACAGGCCTTGTAAAAAATAAGAAATAATTTATTGGGCTTTAGAAAAAAAGTGTTCATTTAGTTGTAGCCGTAAATATTTGGTGACCAGTCGATGAACAATTTGAAACTCATTATACACACGGAAGTCCTTCGATACTGAATATCATCGACCCCAATCTGGTTTACCTTATTTCCCAACTTGCAAAACTGATTTGTATCTCAGCCCAGTTTTTCTTTTTTTCTTTTTTTGAACTGAGGTCAAATTCCAGCAATTTGTCAAAATATGCCGATGTTTTTCAGTGAATGATTGTGAAGCGGCAGGTACATAACGCAGGTCGGGTCGCATCGGGTCGGGTCAGGTCGTCGGGTCGGGTCACAATTTAGACAGGTTCATGAGAGTAATAAATTATTCTATGAAAAAAATGTTGTAATTTTATTATTAACCATACAACTTTCATCACATATAATTGTCGTTATAAATACATATAAATAAACTGACGATCTGTTCTTCAAATGAATAAAAAGCATGATAACCACGGGATTATTACGTCGATTAGAATCATAATATACTGTATTAAACGACCAGATTCTTTTGGGAGTTTTGCGTGAGCATCATCGCATCATGGCAGAAAGATATCAAGAAGCGTTCTTGAACTTTTTGAAGTAAGGGTTGGACCATTTGATTTTTGTGGGGGAGGTCAGCTCAGTGAAAGGCAATTTTTTTTTATGTGTGTTTGGAGATTTTTTTGTTATCAGTAGGTTTGCTTGCAATTTTTTTTAGGAGTCCACTATATCCAATATTTTTTTTCATCATCTTCAACGGAGGTAGCAAAGACTTGATATTTTACTGCCAGGTGGGATGGATTGGTACTTTGATAAGGGTTGGTTCCTCAGACCATCATAAACATCAATCCTCTCTTTCCATATCTGAATGCTGAGGTGTAATGACCCATTTTGAACAAGCCATGCATGGCACAGTCCCCATTAGTTATCGAATTTAAGATATATAGTTTTGTTTATAGTAATATAGCGGAAACATAAACATGTCAGGAATATGATTTTGATGATTGTTTAACATTCAAATGATTGACATTTGTATCTGATCGTCAAATGAGTATTGAGAGATATTGCTCTGGAACAGCATTAATTAAAACAAAATCAGTTATTTTGAATACATGTATAATGAATATATAACATTTGAACATAATCAGTCAAAGCATGTCAGAGATATGGCACTAGAACTGCATTCATTAATACATAATGGCCGACTGATCTGATCTGAAAAATAAAATGACGTGCATCAGGAACCCGTAATGTCTAATGTATGTACCAAGTTTGAACAAAACCCATCCATAAATGCCAGAAATGCTCGATATTTGATGATTATTTAGCAAAAACATGGTCACCATTCGGCCATTTTTAATAGGATCGTCAAATCAATATATCTGTATCTATGACATGATTTATAATGAATATTTAAAATTTGAACATAATCAGTCAAAGCAAGTCAGAGATATGGCACTAGACCCAAATTCATTAAAACAAAACGACCGCAAGTCAGGTATTTTGAATCTGATCTGAAAAATAAAATGATGTGCATCAGGAACCCGTAATGTCTAATGCATGTACTAAGTTTGAACGAAATCCATCCAGAAATGCTTGATATTTTATGATTTTTTAGCACAAAAATGGCTACCATTCGGCCATTTTGAATAGGATTGTCGAACATATATCTGTATATCTATGACGTGATGTATATATAATGAATATTAAAAATTTGAGCATAATCAATCAAAGCAAGTCAGAGATGTGGGTCTAGAAGCCCATTCATTAAAACAAAATGGCCGCCAGTCAGCCATTTTGAATCCGATCTGAAAAATAAAAATTGTTTGCATCAAGGTCCCATAATGTCTAATGTATATACCAAGTTTGAACAAAATCCATATGTAAACAGCCGAGAAATGCTTGATTTTGATGATTTTTTAGCACAAAAATGGCCGCAATTCGGCCATCTTGAATCAGATCGTGAAACAAATTGATGTGCATATGTATAATATCATGTGTGATGTATGTGTGAAATATGATTATGATTCGTCCAGGCATTTCTAAGATACAGGTCCGGATGCACGCACGCACGCACGCACAAGGGTCAAAACATAAGTCCCCGTTTTTGGACTGTGTCCGAACGGGGACTAACAAAAATTACGATATTTGGTTGGTGTGAGTGAAGTGGGTGGTGAAAGTGAGGTGGGTGGTGAGAGTCGGATTGTAGGTCAGAACGAGATTGCTCTGTAAGAGTGTGATGTATAACATTTGCTAACAAAAATTGTTTCTCATTTATTTTAATATGTATTTTATTACATTTTATTTATTTTATTATTACATATGTACTGCAGTTTATTTTGAGACGTCCCTGAAATCAAAATCGGTATTTTCACACCTCATATGCAAATGAGGTCTGAGAGCAAACAAATTAGTCCCTTCAAGAGTACCGTTTTTATTCGGACTGTGACTCAGATTTTATTTTCACACAGACAGTGACACGCTTTCTACACTGGCATGCATTGCTAGGGCGTAACACTGTCTTGGAACATAATATTTTATTTTATTTATTACTTGTTTAATAAAACATGGTTCCATACAATCATTAATATATTTTGTCTATTATTATGGTCACATAACATATCGTAGAATGCTTTATTTGCACTGGCATTTTATTTTCCCTGTTTTACCTGAAATCAATTTTCTGCAAAATAAATTCCAGTGAAAATGCAGCTTTCTCTATACGTTGTATTATTGAGTCTTAATACAACATAGTGATAATTAGATCCACACAATGTTTCTGTTTTAGTCTGTACAATGTATTTAAACTAAAACAGCTAAATTGTCAGAGATGTTGCATGCAATACCGTATTTGCTCCATTAGTAGCGCATGCTCTTATGTAAATAACAGGTGTTTCTATGGTCAAAATACATCATATTTTAATAAATCAGTATACAATCAATGCAATTGTTGCTGTACATGTGCTTCCATTGGAGATGCTCTTCTAATAAAGCATATATGGTATACAATCTAAATGCAACCAGAGTGAATTTGTTTTTGAAATTAATATTGAAATGCAGATATCAATTTTCCCTCTTCTATTAATTAATCCACAAACCAGAATCATTGACATCCATTTATATATGACCTAGTTTCTTCTTGTACTCTGTGCCCCCTTATCTTGGCAGGAAGAATTGCCATAATTTTATGATGCAGTAATTCAAGTGAATCTACCGTGTTCAGAGATGACACGACAACAGCTGATGGAAACATAGTGACAAATATATTTTTTACACTGGTGAAGCAACAATTTTTTTTGAAGAACCCTTCACTTTGCAAAGTTTTGTTTTGTTTTGACCCCCCCTAAAAATTCAAATGGTCCAACCCTAAGTACAATCTCACCAGTTTCAGTTGAATCGCTATATACGTTGCTATTCCCCTGTCACTTGTCTGTGACATTTCATCACTTACATTCTGGATATAAACGGCTCTGCGTTATGGTGGCAAATGGCCCGCGGCATGGTCTGTCATCATGTTGTTGAAGTTCAATGTTTTTATCATGCGAAGTTTCTTACAACACATTACTATTCTAGCACGGTTTTTCTAGTAACTGTGATTCTAACCAGTGTCCCCGCCCCCTATTTTACTGACGTTTGATTTAAAGAGCGTTAAATAAAGCATTTGACATTCTTTGAACATAAAAATTACCGGCTTTAAAATAATCGTCTGCTTTCTAAGAACAATCTTATTGTAATGTACACTTATATATCACACAATATATTTTTCTGATCTAAATTTACTTTTATAATAAATGTATGTAGATGAGGACTGATCATTGTTTGGAATTACCATTTGTGGTGCATGTGACAATTTGCGGTAGCCAAATCTAAATATAATATATAATTATTTCCATTCATCTTGATTTATTCTGCAGATTAAGGTAAAATATAGGCAAGGCTTTGGCGAAATTTGAAAGAGCAACTAATATTCTTCAACCTGGTATTTTTTATAGATTTTATTTTTCATTCTGTTCGTCTGTTTTTTCCAGTTTAAAAAATATGAGCTGGCTGGAGCCTTCATCCCTTGTCTATTTCTAACACTAGATACCAGCCGATACCCCCCCCCCTGCTCATAGGGAGTGCGTACAGTTGATCATAGTTCATGGGCTCCCTGTGATGTGACAAGAGGAAAAAACCGTCTCCTGTCATGCTGAGTACCCCTCCAATCAGCTATGGAATGGTCCAACTTGCATATTGGGGGGTGTTTTTGTTTTGGGTTGGGCGTTTGAGAACCTGGGGAAGGCATGAACATTTCGGGAAAACGTGTTTACCAAAACATAACCAGCATGAATAAAATTATGTGTAAAAAGCGGTAAATTACAAAAAATAATTACACACTTTATGCCCGCCCCTATGTTTTGAAATGGTCGACCCCGTATTTACAAAATCGACGTTTTGGCTCCGATGGACGGAGTACCTTTAAACTCGGGCACTACATAACATGGTATCAGTATGGCATGGTGTCAGTGACACAGTCTAGTCTGGGTGTACACTGTGTACACCGAGCCTCGGCCAGATGCACCGTGGAGCTAGACCACATTTGTACGTTCTGGAAGGACCTGGCCGGAGATTCATGATTGAAACGAAATAGAATTGTATCTTTGATCTAGCAAAACATTCAACTATTTAACAACGATCACATAGCAGCGTACAGTGGAAATGAACTGGACGAATAGCCACTTCATTCATAAAATCCAAAACATACGTACAAAATAATTAAATGTAGGTAGATAGACAGTTCAGATAAACAATATGTGAAAATATAATGTTGTATGGCAAAAATCGGATTATCTGCAACCTAAATATTGTGGCCCGACCCGATGCGACCCGACCTGCGTAATGTACCTGCCGATTGTGAAGCCTGTCACAGCACAGTGAATCGACGCCGGAGGTTGGATGGTACGACGATCCTTAAATTAACGTCAAATATACTTTGTTACAACATCATTGATTGGCTGAGAGTTACCTGATCGGAGCACGACCTGGGTCACAGAACCATATTTGTCCGTATTATCAACGGGACTTTGCGAGAGAACCACACCCACATTTTCAACCATTTTTAGCGCGGAAGTTGCCAACAAATGTAGATAAACTCGTGAATTTTATGGATTTGAATAAAATAAAGCTAGCGGTTGGTAAGACTGGTTAATAATATATCCCCCGATGCTCTTCGATTTTTTTAATTTTATTTCAAGGCGAGAAATGGATAATTGAAGTTCCATCGATTTCAATGCGACTGTTTCACCGCGACAACTCTACAGTGTGTTGTAGTTTCGCGAGGTAAAAAAAAATATATAATAAATAGTACTTGTTTAATTATTTGGTTTTACAGCCCGCAAATTACGGGACATGATCCCCATGAATTACGATAAATAAATGCTGATTGTGTTGAATGATGGACGTCGGGACCGTTTGGAGAAACCAACGGGGATCGATATTCCAAACAAATTATTGGGACACGGTCGGTAGACATTTCAAACAAATGAAATTATTAACGAAAGACGAGATTTTTCCAGATATTTACGAACGAACTGTCATACCAAATATTAGCCCTGC